TATCAGCAAAGTTAGGAATGGAAGGTTACAAGATGGGGCAAACCCCAAAGGTACATAGCAGAGGCGAGATAGGAACAACACAACACAAACACCAACAAAACAATACAACATAGGGAAACATGCACAAACAAGATACATGGGGTGAAACAAGCTATCGCTTCAGCATAACCTCCCATGGTGAAGACATGCAGTTGATTGCTAAACATTGCACCACCAAGTGACAACTCTCCAAAGAACTCTAGTTTCCAAGCGACTATAAGGCACAGAGTCAAGGTTGACAGACGACAGTCATGATGTACATCATCTATGGAGCACATCTGGGATCCAGCCATCATCCGCCAATGCCCCTTAAGGGGAGGAAGCCTTAAGGGAGGGAGGACCAATGAGAGGAGAATGAGGAGATCCAAGCGAGGGGACCATGGTCTCGCTAACCCAGCATAGGTTGAGATGATGCAATCAAGGATTGTGGAGGACTTAGAGCGATGAAACTGGTAGTAAACACCATTCAACAAGCAACTTATGCAAGCACTACTTCCTAACAAGTGCCACCATCAATAATGATGAACTCTGAAGAACTCTAAACCACATGCAGCTATAAGGTATTGAGTGGCATCCAACAGACGATAACCAAGAGGCTGTGAGGCATTGAGTCAGAGCCAATAGACGATAGTTGTGAGTTGCAATGCCTATGAGCGGATTTGGACTCCAACTAACGCCCACCAACGCCAATTGGGGGAAGAAAGCCTCAATGGGGGAGGGCCATCAGGAGGAGAACGAGGAGATCCAGAGAGGAAATCAAGGTCCCCGCAACCAAGCATATGATGAGGCAAATGCCTCAAGAGATGTAGAGGGCGACAGAGCAAGCCATTGAAGGCGAGCACCTGGCAGCAAGAGTGTTTATAGAAGCCAAGGGGTAGGAGGGTAGCCACACCAATAACAAGATGGGGTGGGTGAGCAATCGAGGAAAGCACAAGGTCGCATCTGGTGTGGGGGGAAGCAAGTGTGCTCGCATCGATGCCGTCAAGAAGGGGAGTGATGTCCACTGATGCCACCATCGATGAACAGAGCACCAGGCTCGTAAGGGCTTTCACCTCGAGACCTGTCCAGCGGATGTAGCAGCTCGAATTGGAGGAGCTAGAATCTATAGTGATGCCTCTAGGGAGGGACACGACGATTTGCACCGTCGTCACCGGCCTGGAGCAACAGCTAGGTAGGGGTTTCACCTAGAGTCCATATGCCTATGAAAGCTTACCCAGAGCGCAATGCTGCAAACCAGACTTGGCAATGATGAGTAGTGGCCGAAGGGGACCAATGGTGCTAGAGCCTGTAGACTCCTATCCCGCTGCTAGTCAGCCATGAGCCAATCACCACTACAGTCGGCCATGACCTGGCCAACCAGAGTTGCAACCAGACTCGCTAGATCTGGTAGTCACGGGCTAGCCCCTGCCAGCCATAGCCCGGTCAGTGGCCATGCTCAACCGACTGCTTTGCACTGCAAGCCACAGGAGGCCACTTGCCATGCGGTGATGGACTAGATCCACCCGGGCTCCAAAATGCGTGACACTACGAAGGTGTCACAGCCGAGGACGCGTGGGACCGCGGAGGCATGAGCGTGGATGGCAGCCCCGCGTACGCCGTCGGTGCCACCGATGCAGGCCGTGTGCACGCCACCAGCCCTGGGCGCGCTGGATCCTGGCCCAGAGGGAAGCGCCAACACGCCAAACAATAGGCCATATGTGCCACCATCTGGTCCACGCTGGCCCTTGGCCGTATTGTGCCAAACCGCCTACCAGTCGCCATACCGTATGCCCGCCGCATGCGGTGCCCATCGGCCTCGGCAGTGATGGATCCAGGGCAGGGGACACCAGATCCGGGTCTAAGGAGCTTGGATCTGGAGGCCTTGCTCGCCGTCGGTAGTCCTGGTACTGGAGAAATTATAGCTCAAGTATCGACGAGGAGGGGAGGAGAGGAGGGGGAGAAGGAAGCAGCTGTGGTGGGCCTTGTTGGGTGCCGCAGAGGGCCGCTACCACCGCTAGTCGGAGAGCGGCGGTGATGGTCGGGGAGGTGGCGTAGTGGTGAGCGGTCTAGTGGTGGCGATGGGATCGCCCCGAGTCGCCCTGTACGGACGATGGGGGGTGGTGAGTTGAAGGAGCTCAATTCATATGAGACACGACATGGTGTCATATGTTTGAGTTTCTCATATTTTGAAATTCATTTTATTTTGAATTGTACAAACGATCTTAGATGGAAAAACAACGTTTTAGTTGACAAATTTTTTTATTAGAAATCATTTATGGTGAGTTTTAATATTTTGAAATAAAAATTTTCAAACGACCTCGGATGAAAAATCTTCCAAACCAAAGCTGTAGACCTCGATGAGAACTACAACTTTATAGTTTATGACTATTTCATTCGAAATCATTTGAGGTCAAGTGTGGCCCATGTTATCACAACTTAAATTTCAAATTTGCCAAACGTCCTCGAATGGAAAAACAACCAAAACCAAAGTTGTAGATCTTAATAAGAACTACAACTTTATAGTTGATGACTTGTTCATTGAATTCGTTATGGTCCCAAATATTCATTTTAAACTTCTAAAAAGTGAATACTAGGGGAATGGATGTGCCATATAGATACAAGTGACTTTCAGGGGTATAGTGGTTAGAGAGATACACACGAGTCCAGGTCCTTAGGTTTGAGTCTCACTACTACTTCACGCAAAAAGTCACATAATTTTAGGATTTTGAACATACTAATCATAGTCGGCTGGTAGCACGAACCGGCGGTGATGACAACATCCTCACCGCCAAGGGCCAAAACCGGCAGTGAAAAGGGGTTTAGAACTGGCTGTGGTGACTTTTTCTTAGTAGCGGTAGGAGATTGATCAAATTTAATTATGTGGCTATTGTGTGCACCTGTTTTGAGTTTGAAAGGTAAAACATGAGCTACACAATTAGACACATGCTAGGAAGCGAATAGACTCGGACAACCAGGGCATGACATGGGTGGTGCATTGCTAATGAATTGCAGCTCCAAACTCAAAGCAAGATTGGTAAGAGTGAGTGACGATGGACTAAGGGACAAAAGAGGAAAGATGATGGTGAAAGTGAGGGATGATGGACCGAGAAATGAAAGAGGACGGTGAGTGTAATTGATGACAAAATAGGGTGAAGGGACGAACATATGGTGGAGAGAGTGAGAAACGAAAGACAAACATTAGATTGATCGAATTTAAATAGGCGGTAACCATATACACCTGCTATGAGTTTGAAAAGTGAAAGACAAGGCACGCGCTTGAACGCACACCACAATATGAACAGGCTCAGATGATGAGGCTATGACATGAGTGGTGTGATGTTAACTTTAAACCCAAACAAAAGTTAAAAATAAAGGGCGACTAGCGAAGAATGGACAGACGGTGGACAAAGTGAAAATGACAAGAGGGTGAGCGACGACCAGATGGTGAAGAGAGTGAGAGAGTAAAAAGAAAGAATTTTGGACCTTTAAAAATTACGTGTCGACATAGATATGAATTTTTTAAGTATTTCTTCTCTTAATTAGTAAGTGCTCGCCGCCGTCCGACTCCACTCAACAGCACAACACGACTACAAACGCCCGCAGCCACCTCCTCCCCCTCTCTGCTCTCTACTCATGGATAATTAATTTTGCAGGTCGCCTCTCCTCTCGTCTTTGAGGCTTTTACATGTATGCCATTAAAAAAGTTTGTAATTACACACAAGCCATTAAAAAAATTAACCGCACACGAGTGCCATCGTTCTGAACTTCTTTGCTCTCCAAGCCATTCCATCTGTGTTCAGTTCGTTTTCACCGTTTGGGAGTCCTGACGAGTGGGTCCGGTCAGTCAAAACGTCCATAATACCCCTCTCATCCCTATCCTCTCTCTCTCAAATTGCATGTCCTCCTCCAGCTTACTAAGGTAATGCAGCTGCGTGTCCTCCTCGAGCTTACTAAGGTAATCTGGCGGCTTCGATGCCGAATCTGCGGGGCCGTTCTTTGGTGTGTTGGAGCTTCTGGGCACTTTGCTCATCGGCGCCTCCAGTCCTTTGAGGTAATCGAGGTAATGCGGCCGCCGACGCTGAATCATTGCCGCCGCCAAGACGCCTGGTCGCTTCGCCATCGCCGTCGCGTACCTCTGCCGGCAATTGTCGTCGGCGCCAGTAGCTCATGGCGAAGCGGTGAAATTTGGCGTTGTGTTGGTGAAGTTGTCGCTGCTTGCCACCGATGGTGTGGGAGGCGGCTCTTCGTGGCACGTTAATTTGTCGCGCGCCGCCAACGCAGCGGCAGCGCCCATGGCGAGGAGAGAGTTCAGCGGGGCGTTGACGAAGCCGCACCGGCGCCCATGGCAAAGGACAAGCCGCCGCCGCCGCCTGGACACCGAGTGCCGCCGTCGTGTCCATGTAGCTGAGGCTAGTTTCGGTGGAGGGGTAGTGGACAGGCACCATGGCATGGTGCGGCTCCTCGGCGCTCCACATGGCCAGATTAGTGCAGGCGCCCGACCAACAAACTCCGCATCGGTGGCGGCGGGTATGCCAAAGTAGTCGGTGCCTGCGCATTGGTGGAAGGCGTAGCCATCTTTGCAGTCCGGACATCGCGCGGTGCGTGGTATGGTGTGGTCGTCTGTCGCGAGGAGGCCGTTGTTGTTGTTGCTGCTGCGGCCGGCGGTGTACATGTCTGGCGTTATCTGAAGGTGGTAACCCTCCATGCCCGCGCCACCGCTGCCGTTGGTGCATTGCTGGAAGCCGTACGCCTGAACACCATCATTGGCCCATATGGCCCGGTTGTCGTAATCGTCGCCGCCACCGCGCGGGGCGTCAGCGAACCCGTCCGTGCGATAAAAGGCGGCGGCGTGACCCCCTCGAGCACGACGCTAGCACCGACCCCGTCCTCGCCGTCGACCGGCAGACCCAACGCCCTCATCCTGTCCTCCGTAGCCCGTATCGCGGCGTCGATGGCCTCGGCGACCCTGCGCCTCCTCCGCCATGGCGACGGCGTCGGCGCTTTGTCCCGAGATCGAGGCCGGTGGGCTAGCTTTGGCGCCGCGCTGAGCGCTTGGCCTCCTCCTTGCCGACCCGCCCTCGAGGTACGCTGGTGCGTGTCGCGGCGCACCTCCGGTCAATAGCAGCGATACAAGGCAAAGACCACGGCGCCCTCGGTGAACTCCCACACGTCGGCGGCCACGCCGCCCATCGTCAGATTAGTCGTCATCATGGCGGCGACGACGAGCAATAGCGACGTCGACGCCGCAGAAAGCATGGAGAGCTCAGTCGCCTTGACCTTGAGCGCCTCCTTCCGCTTGCCAAACATATCGACCAGCGCCCATGGTCGCGGATGAAACTAACGCCGGCGCTTCGCGGCCACGTCCATGACCTCGCCCGCTAACGCCTTGCTGCTTGCTGAAAGCTCGAGGGCGCTGGCGCGGCGAAGCTCGCCCGGCCGCACGCGCTTACGAGAAGAGAGATCGAGTTTGAGAGAGAGAGGATAGGGATGAGAGGGGTATTAAGGACGTTTTGACTGACCGGACCCACTTGTCAGGACTCTCAAACGGTGAAAAACGAACGGAACATCGATGGAATGGCTTGAAGAACAAAGAAGTTTAAAACGATGGCACTCATTTACGGTCAATTTTTTTAATCACTTACTTGTAATTACAAACTTTTTTTTAATGACGTACTGTAAAAGCCTCCTCGTCTCTCTCTCCGAGCACCGCAAATCCATCCATCCATCCAACTCAAACCCAACCTGTCGTCCCCGACCGATCCCGCAAAACCCTAGCGAGCGCCGTCGCCTCCTCCCGGCTCCACTCCCACATCGTCCTCTCCATCCCCGCCCGCGCGCGCCGCAGATCGCGGGGCCGTGCGTCGCCCGCCGGAGATCGGAATTCTGGTTTCCCCTTGCGCGCTTGCGGCTGCTGCGGTGCGGCGATGGCGGGCGGCGGCGGGAGCAGGCGCGGCGGCGGAGGAGCCGAAGATCTGGAGCGGCAACGTCTTCGTGGCGCTCGAGACGCTCAAGAAGAAGAAGAAGAAGCCGGCGGCGGCGGACAAGGCGGCGGCCAAGCCCGCCGCCGCCAGGGACAAGGAGGAGGGCCCCAAGCCGGAGGTCTTCTGGGCGCCCGCGCCGCTCACCGCCAAGTCCTGGGCCGACGTCGATGACGACGATGACTACTTCGCCACCACCGCGCCGCCTCCCATGCCCGTCTGGGGCGACGCCCACCGCAGCGACGCCGCCGAGGACCAGCACGCCGCGCCCGCGCTGGAAGAGGTCTGTCTCGCTTCAATTCCATCCCGTTTTCTTTCTCCCTCTATTTATTGTGCTTTGTGGATAGCTGAGTGGCACAATTCGTCAGGCCAGGATTTCCTTTTCTTTTTTATTATTATTATAAGTCTATGTTTCTGTTCTATTCTATATATATGCACTCTTGATGGTGGTATGTAGAGTGATCTGAATACAATTACTGGCAGGCGCTAATTTTAGTATCATGTTCGAGTGCTTTCGTGGAATAAAATTTGCCTAGTGGGTCATAGGTATCTTGCACTGAATTGGATGCTGAATGATAAGGCTAGTAGTTGTCGATATCCGTTATCAAAACGCTGCTAGCCGTTATATCCTGGGAACATTTGAATTAACGGTTTACACAGTAAGCAAGTAACAGATTGCGGTTTCAGGTTACTAAGAATTATAAGCCTTGATGGTACATGAACTGACTTGTTATCAAAATTCCTGCTGTTGCGGCCATAGGATCGTAACGTAAGTTGATAATAATAATCACGAACATGTGGGAAGTAGAAAAAAAAATAAGTATGACGTTAATGGAAATGGGGATGCTCCTCTTTTCGGAAAAAAGATCTAGGGTCATCGGATAGGGAATCAAGAACACGTAGTGGGCTCCATGGTAACAAAAGCAACTTCAATGCCCTAAGAAATCGAGAAATTCTAATTCTTGCTGTTGTAATCGTAGCATTGTAATGCTTGCTGAGAATTGCACACATATGGGAAGTGGAAAAGGTTGTGATACAAATAAATAACTCTGTAAAAGCTTGGGTAGGTTAGAGAATCAGATAGGGAACTTGGCATGGCTAGTGGGCTCCATGGACTCAAAAGCAAAATCAGTGTTAGTAGTCTAGTTACAGATAGATTGGATTGCTGGATTAGTGCCGCCTGCCTATTTTTGATATGCAACTAAAATATCTTTACAAGGGTATGCGCTTTTATCTTTGCATGTGGCCATATTGATTCCTTGATTCTTGCCTTTTTGTTTCTAGATTTGGCATACCTTTTGTACTAGTTTAGTACCTCCAGACATCTAAATGCACTCCTGCAACAGGGCTGAGGTAAAAAAGTTTGTACACATTGGTTATTGTTATGAAATAGTGTCTCTCATCTGTATTGTCGGACCATTTGTAAACATTGCCGCCTTATTTTGATATTGTCGATTGGATCAGAACATCAGAAGTTCTTTTGTGTAAGGTGTTATATATATGTTACCATGCTACTGTGTTAGGTTTAGAGCATCGTAAGAAGCCACTACTGCATTGTTCCTATTTTAAAATATGTTGTTGGAGCATATGGTTCTGCATTTATTAAGTACTCTTGCCTCCCAAGTCATACATTGACTGAGCTTATTTTGTCTACCTTTCCATGTCTTCCATTTTAGCTCAGTGCTGTCAGTTCTGTCTAAGTATATTATGCAATATTCTTACCTGAATATACCATGTTTCTCTAAATGCCTCTTCCACATTGCAGGAGATTGAGAGTGAAGATGATAGGTTGATGCTGATGCTGATGAGGAGCATGAGCATGAAGCAGAAGATGCTGTCCCTGCTGAACCAACTGTGAAGAATGCTGCAGCTCCACCTGCACCACCCAAAGATACTGAAAGACAGCTTTCCAAGAAGGAACTGAAGAAAAAAGAACTTGCTGAACTTGATGCTGTTTTGGCTGAGTTGGGCCTTGGGACATCAAACAATTCCACTCAAGATGAATCCAATGGTAAGTTCTAATACATGCTGTTCTCTTTCTCCAAAGAATTTCCCTTCAGGAAGAATTCCATGAAAACTGAACAAACTCAATCTGGTTGTGTTGATGCCTTCCTGGTTGGCCATGTTGACTCAAGATTTACCACTTCCTTTATGGTGATGCTGAATCTTCTGTTGCAGGTAAGAAAGGCGCAGATCAAGTTGCAGATGGAGAGAAAAAGGACGATGCACCTGCTCCTCTAGAAAGCAAGAACTCAAAGAAGAAGAAATCTAAGAAAGAAAGACAAGTCTTCAAAGGAGCCAAAGGAAGCCCAGGATCAGGCCAATGGGTTGGAAGAAGCAGCTGTTGCAGAACCTGATGAAGATACAACTTCTGTGGATGTCAAGGAGCGCATAAAGAAGGTAGCCTTTATGAAGAAAAAGAAGTCCAGCAAAGAGATGGACGCTGCAGCAAAGATCGCTGCATCTGAGGCCGCAGCAAGGAGTGCCAGGCTTGCCACAGCGAAAAAGAAAGAGAAGAGCCACTACAACCAGCAGCCTGTGCGGTGAATTCCCCTGATTTTGGATCAATAGATACCTTTTGAGCTCTGATATCCCCTTGTTCGTTTTGGACCTGCAATAAACTTTTTGAGACTGTGTTTTTGACTTGGTGGAGTTGCTGTCTGATGCTCGTTTTGGGAATTAAAATTATAGTAGGTACATAGGGGGCTGTGTTGTCACTGGATTCTGAATGGTGTAATGAGCTCTGAACTGTTCGTCATATGAACCCTGCTGAGTGCTGACTATATGGAAAATGTGGGATATTTGATGCCTATCCGGCTTGAATGTCTGCAAATTGTTCTTCGTTCTTGTGTCATAGCATTGGTTTTACATATCCTTGGGTAGTGAGCAGAGCATTGAGGTTGCCATTTGCTGAGAATCTAGGGTTGTTGTACTGGAGTTTTACGGGAAACAGATTCGGCTGCCGCCGGCCTCGTCGGCTTTTGGCCTGCGGCGTGTCACGGCGCGGCTGCGCGCATGCGGAGCGGTGTGTGAAAGGAAAGCGGATTCTGGCGTGTTTGGAGTCTCTCCAGTAAGGGTTGCCTACTTGCCTGGGAAACGGAGCTCCCCAAAGGCCTTCGAGTTCTTTTTTGAGTAGTTTCAGGCTTTCAGCTCTCCCGACGGTCTATTTAGAACGAAGGAATAGAAAACAGACGAATAAAAAATATAGGAATGGAAAGAAACGTAGGAATAAAAGGAGAGTGTAATAGAAAATCAGGGGATTATAAAACTATAGAAAATGTATAGAAATGGGTGTTTGGAGCATAGGTATTCCTATCACAGGAATCGAAACACATGCAAGTTATTAAAAAATCATTAGTGCTTAATGATATATAAATTAGCCACAAATTTCTCCGGATTCATCTAGATTCCTCCAAACGAACGGGGCCTTGTAGGAATTTGGAGGAATCTGTAGGAATTTGTGAGAGGAAAACACTGTTCCGGATGAAAAAAGAAGCGTATTTTTCTTTGTGTCCAGCACTATAGTTCCAAAGCCCAAACTTCCAATCGACATAAAAGCACATAACGTTTGTCAACTACAGTCGGCCAAAGAACTATTACAAGCTTGCGGCACCGTGGCGATTAGCAAAGTTGTTAGCTTCAGATCAATGAGAAAGCAGCGAGTGGTCACAGGAAAATTTCCCTTGGCTCAAAGCTCATTTTTAGATTTCTCTAAAAGTACAACTTCCTAAGCCTTTCCTCTGGAAAGTTTTATAGCACTTCCTACACTCCAAACGGTGTGAGAGAAAGCCTTTCCAGAGGAATGTAATTCCTGTACTTTCCCTTCATTTCCTTTGATCCAAACGCACCTAAAGGACAGCAAGAAATGGCTCTCCAAGTCTCGATTTTCGTATTTTCGTGGCTCCCTTTCTCCCTTAGCTCCAGCAGCTTCTTTGGTGAAGCCCTCGCTAGCACCGGTTGTCAAATAGGCCTTCAGTTTTTTTTCCCTTTCATGATGAAGCACTGAAGCCCCTCGCTAATTCCGGTTGCCAAATAGGCCTTCAGTACTTTTCCCTTTCATGGTGAAGCCCATCACTTGCTTTGATGGAGTTTTTTTTTTCCGGTTGTCAAACAGGTCTTGGTTTTCCTCTTGCTTTGATGGAGGAGACTTTTCCCTGTGTGCCATTATAAAAGATCGCAATCCTCTGTGTGCCCCTGGAAAAATTCAGCGGTCTTCAGCGCCACTACTTCAACTTTTTCGGGTCCTCCATGCCACTTCCGTCAGTTCAGGCTCTAACGCCGTTAAAGTGCAGGTGTGAAAAGACGAAAATGCCCTTAAGTTCAAATATGTTATTAATTTTTTTTTGAGCATCTTAACGACTTCAAATGAAAAAACTCAAAACTAGAAAGTTGTAGATCTCGTTGAGATCTATAATTTTCATATAAAAATTATTTTCATTTAATTCCGCAAAAAAAAATGATTTGATATGATTAATATATCTTAGAAAAATCATCATATTTTTTTTTGTGGAATTAAATGAAAATAATTTTTATATGAAAATTATAGATCTCAACGAGATCTACAACTTTCTAGTTTTGAGTTTTTTCATTTGAAGTCGTTAAGATGCTCAAAAAAAAATTAATAACATATTTGAACTTAAGGGTATTTTCGTCTTTTCACACCTGCACTTTAACGGCGTTAGAGGCTGAACTGACAGAAGTGGCATGGAGGACCTAAAAAAGTTGAAGTAGTGGCGCTGAAGACCGCTGAATTTTTCCAGGGGTACACAAGGGATTGCGATCTTTTATAATGGCACACAGGGAAAAGTCTCTTGATGGAGAGGGTAACATTTCTAGGGATGGAGAGAAATTTTCAGGGAATGAGATCTGTTACACCTTTGTTTTTTCTCTCTCTCAACCCTCTTTATACAGGAATATAAGTGGCTCTCTTTTTCTATGGTGTTGCTGTACAGTGCCCTATCATTGGGCAATTGAGCGTTCAGCCAGGCCCTCACGATATGGGCCTGAAGGATTCGAAAATCAAGATGGGCTGATCTGGATCTATCAAGAATGCCCGCCTCCGTTAATGGTTCCAGATTTAAAAAAAATGTTTTTCAAATTTGAATTTGAATTTCACTAATGAAAATACAGATAAAGCAGAAAATAGAGGACAAACATATATTACATTCATTCTCGTTTGATGAACCAACATTAAGTTATTACATTACAGATGTCTTCATCATTGTTTCACAAACACACATCACACATTCATACATGAGCAACTAAAGTCACCTAATCAAAGATGTTCGGCAACTTGTAATCCTCTAGGCCCAGGCTCTCCAGTCTTTTAACATCTCATACTTCTCCTCTGTCGCCAACTCGCTCTTCGTATTAAAGAACGTTTCCCCATCCTGCACGCAGGAGTCCATGATAAACTTACATATGTCCGCTATTGTTTGATTGATGCTCTTGTGGTCGATCTTTTCTCTCTCCCACCACCTCTGTGTTTTCTTGAGCTGGCGCCAGCTGTGGCTGAATCTGCTGCACACTCTGAGGTACTCGCAAGGGTAGTATCCACATACTAGTGTGCCATGAGGTTGTTTGGCGCACTACACGATACATAATACACAAACATTAGAACATATATAGAGCATGCACGATAAAAGTAGCACATACGATTTTTGATACGTACTGGGAATTTTCGCCTCAGTTTCAGTTTTATGCCATTCCTCGTCTTCTTCTTCTTCTCAGATCTTCGATCATAGCACTCGGGGTCTTGCACATACTTCTTGTAAGGACTGAACGAAAACCACTAGTGTCAACGACAAATTTAATATGTACGTTAAGTGCATAAAAAATAAGCACCGTCACTTACTATCGCAAAACGCTTTTAAAATTCTTGTACCCTTCTTTGTTCGATCCTTCCTCCCAAGAGTCAAATATACATGCCCTTTTATCCCGAGGATAGACTATGAATACAATCCAGTGGCCCATGATGCCCCCGCTGCACCATTATTCAAACAATACGAATTTAAGATCTTCAAATATGAAAAGTACTGATCCCAGTAGTCGCAAGTATCCATTTGACTTACCCGAACTCGTGGGCGGCAAGGATACACCCATTTCCTTTGACCTTCTTCATGACTCTATAGATATACATTCCTGCGTTATACTTCAATTCCTCGCGCAGTTCTATCCAGGCTTGTGGTCAATCTTCGGGGTCCAAATTCACCAGCCTATCATGCGTGTCCAATACATTGTAACCCGTGATGACCCTCTCAGTAAGATGCATCAGAGAGAGGTAAATAATGTCTTTGCCTATTTCCTTGAATACATAGGACTCCATCATGCAAGGACAAGTCATCATAGCATTATTAGTTTCATCCTAGCTAATTAAAGTACCTACGGCGATGCAAAGGTGTAAAAGTTGTAATTAACTTACAGGGCAAATAACGTCACCATACCGATGTCGAGGTCCTTGCGCTGCAGCACCCTATGCATGTCGTGGAAATCTATGATGACTTGAGCATCATAGGGCAAGTGGAAGTACTCCCCTGGGACCTTGACAACGAAAGTTTTCATGCCGAGTTTCTCTGCCTCCATGTACTAGAGATGGAACCTCTGTACCTCCCACGACACCTCCTATACGAGTTGGCCCAAGGGCACCATTAACTTGCCATGCTCGTAGTTGTCGGGGCAGTTCGGAGAAAGGGGCCAGATCGACACTAGTGTTCGTGGCCTGTACTTGAGACCAGGAGTGAAAAAGCCTGCTAGCATCTCCGCATACACTATCTATCGGGGACCTAATACCGGGGTGTCCAATGAGGTGGAGCTAATAACCATTGAACGTTAACGCTTCCGGTCAGACAAGAACGCTACTACACTTCTTGCTCGAACGACGGCAGATTGGTTTCGCCTCGCCCGACCCCCGAGGGCTAGACTCCGCCTCGCCCAATGACTGAGGGCTAGCTCCACCTCGCCCGATGTCTGAGGGCTGGCTCTGCCTCGCCCGACGTCTGAGGGCTGGCTTCGCCTTGCCCGATGGCTGAGGGCTAGCTCCGCCTCGCCCGACGACTGCGCCCTGCTCCTTCATGATGACAAGCACGAGGTAAGATAGGACATTCAAGTCAACCGCAGTACTGAGGACCATACCCTGCACGCCTACAGAAAAGTACCATCAGGATACGACGGCATGGGCGCGTTAAGCCCTTCCAGGCATGGCAGAGCCCGAACAGTGTTGTAGGCGTTGACTTTGGTCTTACATTGTTGTGGGCGCCGCCATCAGCCCTCAGGCGTGGATCCTAACATGAGCATACGATAACCACTACAATCCAAGAGGGAACTCACGTCATCAACAGTAACAGGCGTATAGTCACTTCTTTGTCTACTCCTCGCAGAGTCATGGCTCGGCACCCTGACACACCGCTCCGTCCGCCGGGGGCGGATGGGATGTGACCACTCGCTGAAATGAAGCCAGAGCCCGGCCCTATCAGGATCGGCGAAACATGCTATCCCTAGCGTGGTCTGCCATGTCAGCAGGGCAGGCTCAAGGGAAAAGGAAGACCCGG